CTTGAGTTAATTGTATCGCTTTTTCTCTGCAGGGTTCTTCCATGTACCACGCTGCCTGTATATGTGTGAGCGAATTCTGGATGATCTTTTGAATAACGCGGCGTGAACGTGTTCTCCGTTGTGTTTAATTGGGAAAGACACATCTTTTTAAACTGTTGAAAATCAAAATATAGTGAATGTATTTTTCAAGCATTAAGCTTTTTTAATGTTACTTATTTTCACATAACTTCAGCTGCAAATGACTTAAGAAATAAAACACTCCCCTGATGAGTCTGTCCATCCACCCGCTTTGGATACCTTTGATTGATTACCTTGCATATCTTGTTCGGGGTTGTTGCGAGCTGCAGCCTATCCCAGCTGACTTCGGCCAAAAGGCAGGGTACAGCCTGCAAAGGTCACCAGTTAAATGCAGTGGACATCGTGACAGAAAACTATTTACACTCACGACGGGGTGCAATTTGGGATTTAATTATCCTAACATGCATGTTAAATAAAAAATAGCAAGTTTACAGAGAGAAAGGCGTAGAACTGAACTGACTACATGCTCGACTGCATCAAGAAGAAAAAATAAACCAGAATGGACCCTGACATAACTTGAAACCGGTTAGACCAGTGGTGTCAAACATACGGCCCGCGGGCCGTATCCGGCCCGCAAAGGAGTTTAATCCGGCCCGCGAAATGATTATGTAAAGCAGTGTTGTCAAACATACGACCCGCGGGCCGGAACCGGCCCGCAAGGAGGTTCAATCAGGCCCGCAGGATAATTTAAAAGTGAAAAAAAAGCATTAAAGACACAGAATTAATATTTTTAATAAGGTGCAATTCTTTGAGTATCCGCAAGGGGACACTGTTTTGATCAGAGAAGAAGACAACAGCAGCCTCAGTCCGTCACTGAGACAGACCCATGACAGCAGACGCTTTCAATAGCACTCTCACATTTACACATTTAATAGCACTCTCCTTAGTTTGTAAGGTGTAGGCAGGGATTACCTTTAGATTTTATATGCATGTGTAAATGGTTTAAAACTTCCTTTCTTCATAAATCTTGTTTAATCTTAAAGTGCATTACTGTATTTTTCAATACCAATTACTTGTTAAAGTTTGTACAATCAGTGGGATCAGTTGCAATGCATATATGTGAATGATAAAAGTAAATTGCACATTTGTCGAAGGAAATGTAAGGTGCTTCATGAAATGTTTTGTAAAAGATATGTTCATTAAATTTCAACATTTTCCTAATGTTCTTGTGCTTCTTTATACCAAAACAAAGGAAAGACATATTGTTTTGGTTATTTATAGCAAAGTATGGTATCATTTTAATGGTCCGGCCCACTTGACATCTACCGAGGCCGTATGTGGCCCACCATGTGAAATGAGTTTGACACCCCTGGGTTAGACTGTCTTTTGGACACATGAGCCACAATGGAAACTTGTTGCGTGCAGGTCACATCGGTGCTATGTCTACATGCGCAAAAATGATGGAGATGAGAAAATTATTTATAAATGTATTTTAGAAGATCAAATAAAATTATGGAGGGGCTGCACAAATATTTAAATTATAAATATTTTGCCAATTATTAAAAAAAAACATTATACTGTATTTATATTTTGGTTTTGTTATTTACTATTAGATATATTGATTAAAAATGAACCAACTTTAGGGGCGGG